ATATTTCTGCACATAAGAAGAAATTTCGATATTTTTTTTTAATAGACCTGGATTTGATAGGCCGCGAATACAAATTTGAATTCGCTTCGAACAGGAGTGAACCGTTAGAGAGATATCGAAAATATTATATGGTATTTGTACATCTCCAAACCATGAGACCTTTGTTTGTTTATTCCGGAACACCCTGTACGTACAGGGTGAGAGAGACAGCAGTCAGCCAGAGTCGAGAGATCCACGTTGTTAGATCGTATCAGAGGGTTGTCTCTGCTGCTACCGCCTGTGCTCGATGTGCTTACCGCTCTTGCACAGAGCCACTCCGTCTAGCTCGAAGGTATTTGATATTGACTTCCCGAGGCTCGACTTTGAACTCCTGAAGCGGAGAGAGAGCAGGAGAAAGAGGAAGAGAAAGAGAGACAGAGAGAGAGAGAGAGAGAGAGAGAGAGAGAGAGAAAGGGAAGCGCAGGCTGCACCACCCCCGCGTTACGTTTAATTAAAAAGCTTCGTGCGCGCGCGCGCGCGCTTGCACGCCCTTATATACACGTCGGGATATGTGTGTCGATAGTCGATGAGCTCTCTCGTAAAGCTCCAAAGAGCATTTGCGAGCTCTGCGAGCAGTGCGTTAGACAGAAAACAAAATTATTTGTCTGTCGCGGAAGTTGTCGAATCAAAGTGGCGGAATCGTACCTAAAACAGGCCGCATTGAATTTCTAGCAATTACAGGATACGTGGAAAAATTGAGCGATGATATTTGACATCGAAATTCAGAGTGTATTCATGTAACATTGATTATTTTGTGACTTTATCAGAACGACTTGATGCGACTTTTATAGAATAGCAGGACTAGTGAAATAAGGATTAATTATGCCCAGATTTGTCGATCAAGAAAATTAAACCACTGAATAATAATAAAGAAGAAGCATATTTTAGTACACCCTGAGCAACACGATTACACAGGATTCATAATAATAATAATAGTAATAATTTTTATGAACGTGAAAATAACAAAAGAAATATGTATAAATGAACAGTATAAAATAAAATAAGGGAAGATGAAGAAGACTTCAAAAGTTGAAGTATAACACTGACTTGAAACCTAACCCTGCGATACAATAAAAATAAAAATAGTTGCATACACTTAGACAAAAAACAAAAAATATATATATAAATATATGTATATACATTACCCCGTAATACGATATTAATTTTTCTTTTCTTCGGGCCGCTCGCAAAATTCTGGAAGAACGAAAGGAGAGTGAGAGATAAAGAGAAATAGGGAAAAGAGAGAAAGAAGGAAGCGCCGCGCTGAGGTAGCGTCGAGCGACGTCGTGCTGCTTTATTTTCCCGGCATCGCTGCCTCCGTCGTGGAAAACGCGAGGCTGGCAACAACGTTTTCCAACGATAACAATTATCCACGAGAGACTTCATTACCCATTCGCCGCGAGCGGCTTCTATTCTTTATTTATGGACAAGCTCATTATTTCTGTGCAAGTAAGCATATGAAAAATTCTCCCCTCGCGCGTTCCAATCCTCCCTTTTCCCTTCTCTCGCCTTTCCTTTTCCCTCCGTGCCTCCCGACATTTGCCTGCTGCGGCTA